AAGATAATTATTGTTTGGAGACTATACAGTGACATTAGTTGCTTATTGTTCGGGGCTATACAGTAGAATTATGGTGAATTTTTTTCGAGGGCTTTACAGTGACATTAGAGTGAGTTTTTTGTTTGTCTGAGGGCTATACACTGACATTAATGTATCCATTGTTTGGAGGCTATACAGTGTCATTTAAATATTTATTGTTTGGAAGCTGTATAGTGATATTTAGATGTTTATTGTTTGGAGGTTGTATAGTGATATTTAGATGTTTATTGTTTGGAGGCTATACAGTGACATTTAGATGTTTATTGTTAAGAGGCTATACAGTGATATTGTGATGGTTATTGTTAAGAGGCTATACAGTGATATTGTGATGGTTATTGTTAGGAGGCTATACAGAGACATTTAGATGTTTATTGTTTGGAGGTTTTACAGAGGCATTTAGATGTTTACTGTTTGGAGGCTCTATAAAGACATTAAGCTAATTATTTTTTGGAGGTTATACAGTGATATTATGATGTTAAATTGAGAATGGAAACGGGGAATGTGTCAAAGAGACAACCCGACCAAACAGCAGAAAACAGCCGACGGCCACCAATGGGTCTTCAACACAGCGAGAAAATCCCGCAACCGAAGGCAGGCTTCAGCTGGCCCCTAAACAAAATGTGTACTAGTTCAATGAAAATGGACGTCATACTAAACACCAAAACATATAAATGAACTAAAATTAAAAACATACAAGAATAACAAAGGCCAGAGGTTCCTGACTTGGGACAGGCGCAAAAATGCGGCGGGGTTAAACATGTTGTGAGAGATCTCAACCCTCCCCTATACCTCTAGCCAATGAAGAATAAACAAACACAGAGTAATACGCACAGTACAACTCAGTTTAAAAGAAGTCTGAGTCCGATGTCAGAATAGGTAACTTAAGAAACTAAGCAAAATAACAATGATACATACATTAACAAGGGACTACTAGCAGTTACTAACATGCTAGCTCCAGACATCGATTAAACTGATTGAAAGATTATGTTTTCATCATATGAAAATCAAGCACAATCCCTCCCGTTAGGGGTTTAGTATCATACCATCATAAAATATATGAGAAGAACATAACACGTATCATGCCAACAACTGGTTTTAGAATAAATGTGTTTATTTCCGATGCAAAGACCCTATGAGTGAATCAATATTAATACCAAAATATCCCATCTTTAATGATCTGACAACAGTATCATAACTATGTATATATCCCTTCTGAATAAGTCTGTTTAACGGTTTGGTTAGCTTTTGAGGTGAATGTCGACATTTTTGTGCTTTGTATAGAATATTACCATAAAAAATTGGATGTGAAATACCTGAACGTATAAGGTGTCTGCATGTTGATTTATATTTACGAATGATGCCCTTGTACCGATGATAAAATTTAGTAAATATTTTGACTAGTTTGTGATATCGAAAACCCTGGTGTAATAATTTTTCAGTAATACAGAGATTTCTTTCGTTAAAATCAAATACGTTGTTACATACACGAGCGAATCGAACAAGTTGAGATATATAAACACCATAAGATGGTGACAAGGGCACGTCACCATCTAAAAATGGATAATTAACAATAGGAAATGAAAAATCATCTCTTTTATCATAAATTTTGGTATTAAGCTTCCCGTTAAAGATATAGATATCAAGATCCAGGAAAGGGCAGTGTTCATTGTTAGTATTAGCTTTATTTAAAGTAAGTTCAACAGGATATATCTCTTTAGTGTACATACTGAAGTCGTCATTATTGAGAGCCAACATATCATCCAAATATCTAAAAGTGTTATTAAATTTTTGTATCAGATGTTGTTTCGATGGGTCTTTGCTAATTTTAGTCATAAATTGTAACTCATTACAATACAGAAACAGGTCTGCAGTAAGTGGTACACAGTTAGTCCCCATTAGAATTCCGATAACTTGACGATATACAGAATCTCCATAGCAAATTAAAATATTATCTATTAAAAATTCAAGGGCAGTTATAGTATCAAAGCAGGTCCAATTGACATAGTTATTTTGTTTGTTGTTACTAAAAATGACCTAAAAGAGTTTGAACATATATATTCGCATTCTGACTTTTTAAATGCCCATTTAATTAGGTGTGTGAATTTTTTCTTAATAAGATTATGAGGCAAAGTGGTGTATAGGGTAGAAAAATCAAAACTTTGAACAGATTCGAAATCACCAATATAAGCATGCAATTTATCAAGTACTTCCAACGAATTTTTGACACTTCAAAAGTAATTAATTCCACTATTTTCAAAGGCCTTATTTGAACAATTTATTACCAGGTTTTTGATTGTACCAAGTGTACCTGTGAGTAGAATAAATAGTTTAGTAGTGGAGCAATGGCTTGAAGAAGAAATATATCTATATTTGTAAGGTGTTTTGTGCAGTTTCGGAAGTCAGTACATAGTTGGAACTTTCATTGTATTTGGTTCTGCTTGTAAAGAGGTAGCTAAAAGTTTATGTTTGTTACAGATGTCATTTTCCGAAAATGGAGTCAGTTGGAATGTTGGTGAATTAGTGATTTCCTTTTGCAGAACCTCAATGTAAAATTTACATCAAACAATAATGATATTATTAGCAGACTTATCAGCGGGGACAAAAACAAATTCCTTGGCGAGTTCTTTTAGCTTATGTTTGATACGAGAAATAGGGCTTAAATATGGTTGTTGTTGGGAGTGAAATGTTCTTTAAAATGTTGAATACGAATATCAACTATGTTCATTACTGAATTAAAAAAAGAATTTAAAGATTTTTTGTCAGCTTTTTCTCGTTTAATGTATTGTTTGGAGGCTATGAAATTAACTAAAGATGTTATTGTTTGGAGGCTATACAGTGACATTAAGATGTTTATCTTTTGGAAGCTATACAATCATTAAGATGTTTATTATTTGGAGACTATACAGTGACATTTGGCTGTTTATTGTTTGGAGGCTATACAGTTACATTTAGATGTTTATTGTTGGGAGGCTATACAGTGAAATTTAGATGTTTATTGTTTAGAGGCTATACAGTGACATTAAGATGTTTATTATTTGGAGGCTATACAATCATTAATATGTTTATTATTTGGAGACTATACAGTGACATTTGGCTGTTTATTGTTTGGAGGCTATACAGTGACATTTAGATGTTTATTGTTGGGAAGCTATACAGTGACATTTAGATGTTTATTGTTTGGAGGCTATACAGTGACATTTAGATGTTTATTATTAGGAGGCTATACAGTGTAAATATAGATGTTTATTGTTTGGATACTATAGCTATACAGAGACATTTAGATGTTTATTTTTTGGAGGCTATATAAAGACATTAAGATAATTATTGTTTGGAGGTTATACAGTGACATTACGATGTTCATTGTTTGGAGGCTATACAATGAACTTTAGAGGTTATTGTTTGGAGGCTATACAGTGACATTAAGATTTTTATTGTTTGGAGGCTATACAGTGGCATTTAGATATTTATGATTTGGAGGCTGTATAGTGATATTTAGATGTTTATTTTTTGGAGGCTATATAAAGACATTAAGATAATTATTGTTTGGAGGTTATACAGTGACATTACGATGTTCATTGTTTGGAGGCTATACAATGAACTTTAGATGTTATTGTTTGGAGGCTATACAGTGACATTAAGATTTTTATTGTTTGGAGGCTTTACAGTGACATTTAGATATTAATCATTTGGAGGCTGTATAGTGATATTTAGATGTTTATTTTTTGGAAGCTACACAGTGACATATAGATGTTTATTGTTTGGAGGCTATACAGTGACATTTAGATGTTTATTGTTGGGAGGCTATGCAGTGACATTTAGATGTTTATTGTTTGGAGGCTGTATAGTGACATTTAGATGTTTATTGTTTGGAGACTATACAGTGGCATTTAGATGTTTATTGTTTGGAGGCTATACAGTGACATTTAGTTGTTTATTGTTTGGAGACTATACAGTTATATTTTGATGTTTATTGTTTGGAGGTTATACATAAACTTTTTTTTGTCATTATTGGTTTATGCTCTTCAACGTTTTCTGTCCTTATACATCCTTGGCTTTCAAATATTCGGCTTTGAGCGTTCCTGATGAAGGTAAATCCAGAAAAGCGCTTTGGACACATGAAATTTATAACGTGCTGTTTTCATTTTTTACAGCACTGAGTGGATACCTCTGCTGGTGGACTGCAAAAATGTATCAGTCCCACAGGGTATCATCAGCTCAGTAATCAGAACTTCGGTACTGACATGATTTATAACAAAGTTTCTTAAATTGCCCGTTTATGAATTTTGAAATTATAAACTAAGATTTCAACTCCCTCAGGCAAAGTTGGCCTTAGATGGATTTGGCTTTTTTTTTTTGGTCATTATTGGCTTAAGCTCTTCAATGTTTTCGGTCCTTATACATCCTTGGCTTTCAAAAATTTGGCTTTGAGCATTCCTGATGAAGGTAAATCCAGAAAAGCGCTTCGGACGCATGAAATCTATAACGTGTTGTTTTCATTTTTTAGATGTAATTGTTTGGAGGCTATACAGTGACTTTGTGATGTTTTTTTGTTTGGAGGCTATACCATGGCATTTAGATGTTTATCTTCTTACCATGTGAACTTCGGTGCGCTGTTGACTCAATGGCAATTATATCAGGTATCATTATATTTTCACTTGTATTGGACTCATTGATGGACTGCTGGTGTTTAAATTCAAGTTCATTACTCTTGTTTATATCATGGAAGCCAGATTTTATTAATGGAGGAAGCCAGGGAAAACCACAAGCTTTGGCAGGAAACTAGCAATCCTTGTCAATTAAGATATGTGGCAAGCACAACTGCCACAAACAGGGTTTAAACTCACAACCTCAGTGTTGACAGACAATTGATCATTGAAGATCAACTACTCTGACCACTCAGCCATTGAGGCCCACAATTTTCTTGGACAAAAATCAATATAACTATGAATAAAATAAACAAATTAAAAACAATAATTTAATTTTATTTTTTACTGTGATGAAAATGCATACAAAGCAAGTTTATAAATGAGATCAGTACCTTGTACATATTATTGTGATAGCACACATTTCTTATTGAATTCAAAATCATATTATTCAGTAAAATGACTTCGAATAAATAACAACCCTTTTATAGTGCTAAAATGGATAAACTGATATTGCTGCATACCCAAGAGCTGGCCAGATCACACACTAATAAAAATAAAGTTTCATTTCAAACAGGAAATAGATAGATCTAGAAAATCTATGACAAAATACACAAATAGCTGGATAACCTAGGAGAAAATAAACTTTCATTTGAAATAAAAAAATAATTAGAACTAGAAAATCTGGGACAAAGTTGTTAAAATGTTCAGCAATAATAAATTTGGATCATCAACTAAAATCTAATGACGAAAAAAATTAAAATCTGTGATCCCTATAATCTCTTTTCAGAAAAACGGAGAAAGCAACAAAATATGTCTTTATACAATGTAATTGGAAATCAATTTCTAGAATCTAAGGGTTCAATTGATAACTTTTTGACTGTTTCATAAATATAACTACGGAGATATTTTAAAAACATAAAATAAAACAATTTTTTATGAAAGACAGAAACTGTTGAAACAAAACTCAGTATACTTAAAAAAGAGGTCATTGCATGTCTTGGGTAATAAGCATGGACTTAAAACAATACATGAAGATGATGAGATTTTACAATGCAACTGTACATTTTTTTGTTTATATTGAAATTTTAACTAAGCTTTCTCACAATAACTCATATCTCCAATATAAGCATGTTTATTCTATCAAATTATTTTCTTATTCTTAAAAACCTGGAGTACATTTTCTATTGTATAAATGATATGATATTTCTTTATATCAAATATAGAACAAGCTTAATATCATCTTTCTTGTAAGTGTTTTGTTAATTCAGTAAACATATGACCTTTGATGTGATGAGAACCATGAGAAAGTCTCCCAGAATGAGACTCTATTAGGAAGACACATATTTAGCAGATAATGTTTATAAATTACAACTCTTGTGTACAACTAATCATAGGTTGGCTGTTACTTACATTGTATACATGTATGAATTTAGAATCAGTATAAAATTTAGCTATTTAAATATAGCTAATCATATCCAGGGTTGATGAAACAAACGAAACAAACAAAGCCTCACTATATCTGATTAGGTGACTGGATAAAAATAACTATTTACTATGTAAAACAAAATACAAAATCATTTTTTTGGTGGTGTGTAAAAAAAATTAAAAAAATTGATGTTTAACACTTTCATTTTCTTAATAGTTTTTACTCTATAACTATGTAAATTTCTGTAAAAAAATACATAGGACCTTTTCAAAAATAATGCTCTGGTATAATCATATTCAATTAATATGAATAAATTTATTTCAGAATTCTACACAAAAATGTAACAGATCTATGTGCAAAATATTTACAATTCCAATTTGGAATAGTGAGTATTCAATTGTTCATAAATCCTTTAATGAAACATTAACATTACTTAATACATATAGAAACAAATGCTGTGTTATTTCACTTAAATTGGTTTTTCCCCCCAATTTTTCACCATTAAATTTTCTTATTTCAAATTAACAAATCTTAAAGTTTGAAAATGAGAATATTACTTAAAAATAAATGTACTGTAAAACTCTATGAATTTTTGTACATGATATATCATTTTCTATCCTCATATGCATAAGATAAAAACTTGAATATTGTAATCATAATTAATATTTGTGTTATTAAGTTTTCATATTTTGTCATAATAATATGTATTTTACTGAATACAATGCACCTTTTCAAGGGTACTTGTTTTCAATATTTGTATGTACCTTGGAAAGAGCAAAACAAAGATCACCATGACAATTAATACTTTTTACAGTTCTTTCATGTGGTACTTTTTTATATTGTGGAAAAAAAGAAGAAAATTAAGATGTTGTGACAAAAGATATCAGAGAAATATACAAATAATAAAAAAAAAAAAAGAATAATGTGATTTTTTTATGTAATAAGATAAATAACAGTTTGGCAAAAAATATATATTTTAAATCAATTTAACTAAATTTTAGATATATTTCATTACAAATGAGGAAAAGATAGGCTATACTGTAGAGAAAGAGAAGACCAAGAAAACGTTGACTGGTGTAAGTGAACCAATTAAACAGTTGATTTGGGTTCTGTATGACCACTATAATGGTTGATTCAAGTTCATTGTACTTTTTTTTCTATTTAAGTATCACTTAACAATATAAGCACCAAAATAAAATAATTAGTTGAGATCACAGATTTAGTACCCTTTAAAACAATGAAATAAAATGCTTACGACACTTGTGTAGTATTATTTTTAAAACTATCATCTCCTAAAAGATTAAAAATATATCATTTGTAAAATTGGAATGAATGCTAAAAATTAACATTGTATTTGGAATGTAATTAACTGTTCTATAAACTACATAAAATACACACATATCTAACATTCATCAAATATGAATAAAACAAACACACTATGTAATACTGTTATCTCAAGGAAATTACTTTCAGATATGATGAAATCTTACCCTTTAAATTTGAGTTAAAAAAATCCTTAATTTGAGCCACAAACCATTTTTCATTTGCACCAAACTATAATCTTTCATTTGCTCAATAATAGTTCATGTCTGCATTCTTTTTAATCAGCTAGATACAGGATAAAAAACATAATTAATTAACATATTTTTTAAAGTAAATCTTATCATTTTCTGCTGCTGCAAAAGTCAAAATGCTCATACAAAAAAATGCAGTTTCCTTGTTAACAACTATCCCACAGTGAAACAATAAACAATTGGCAAACTGGGATTTTGCATTGATCAATGATATGGGAATATCACTTTATTTATTCACAAACTGTCATACTGCATCATACTTTCAAATATGTACAGCAAGAAAGCTTTAATTACACAGATCTTCAGCCACAATAGAAAACAAGTTGCATGCATTGTCGTGCTTATCATACCTTCACTTGTTTTTCAAAGTATCAGAAAACATGAAGCAGATGTCAGACAGAAAAGCACTCACACGTTACAACTCATCACTGTTAAGCTAACTGACCAAATATGAAGTCATTCTGTTCAGTAGTTCCTGAGAAAAATATGAAGAAAATATTTGAAAACACTAAGCATATAGGCATTCCAACATCAATTTCAAAAGAGTGTTAATAACTAGCTATCTGCATCAAAAATACCAAATGACTATCCAAACTGTTTTATGCTCTTCCTTTACAGAAATTTGGAATATTAAAAATGCATTTTTTTTCATAATTGTTTCAATCTTTCTTTGAGTTACATATAAAAAAAAGTGCACAATCATTGTAGAAAAAACATACAGTATTACCTTTTTAGGTCAGAGTTATGCCACTTTGTTCAGCAATCAACACTTTAAACAAAATTGGAAAATCACCCAACTGTACAATTTTCTTTGCCTTTACCCTTATCCAGATATGTTTTCCAAACTTGAAACACTATTAGTACATGATACAGCATTTAACATGACAAATGCTTCTTTTATCAAGGGCCTTAGCAAAACAGGAATTGGCAAACAGGAATTAGGTGTCATACAGGTAGAACATGGGCTGACGAAATATTATGTCATTCTTTTCGGTAGTTCTTGTGAAAAATGTAAAGAAATTATATGTTAGACAAATAGACAGACAGACAAGGTGTTCACATTATTGCCCAATTTCTAGAGTGGGGTTATAATTAAGTTGTTTTTCATTTTGAGAATGTACCTTTAAAACAAATATATCATAACCTGGTAAGGTACTTTAAAAACAGCACATCAATCTTAAGAGGAACATTCATTTTCACTGTACAAATAAGTGTTCGTAACCAACTTATACTTGTGATTTGGAAATACCTTCCTTGGGTCCCATGTACCTTTAAATGGAAGATCCCTCATAGTATATGCACAATCAAATTACTAATATAGCCTAAATACTGAAGTTACTGAAACAAAAATTTGATCTTAGATTTGAGCTTAACTTTTAAAAATACATTATAAATTTCATTTTATTTTGACCATTAGGTTTTACCTTTGTTACTGCTTGAGTAGGCAAAGGTAACAATTTGTGGTTGTGTTACTCAAAATACCTGGGGTTTTTATTTGTGGTTGTGTTACTCAAAATACCTGGGTTTTTTTTTTTTGTGGTTGTGTTACTCAAAATACATTGGTTTTTTTTGTGGTTGTGTTACTCAAAATACCTTTGGGTTTTTTTTGTGGTTGCGTTACTCAAAATACATTGTTACCATAATACATCAATCTGTAAAAGTCAAGTTACATATAGGTTTCAATAATGCCAATATGAGAGCAAAATAAATAAATAATAAATGCCACATCTTTATGAGACTAGCTAATATTGTGTATGTGTAAGTTATATGCGACTTATTGTAAAGTTCGAACTGTATTATTAACATGATTAAAAATGCTTTTTTTCCAAAGATACTGGACTATCAACCAGACACTAAATAATTACATTATAAGATATATAGGTTGAGAAAAATCTGAAATTTGATTAAGATTTAAAGTAATTATATGAACACTTTGTCAGCAAAACATTAAAAGGAAAAAGATAATTATCATCTACTGTGGATTCATTATTATTCGTTGGATACCAATTTTCGTGGATTTCGTGGGTACAGGTGAACTACGAAATGTTCAACGAATAACAAATTTTCTATAGGCTTGTATGCAGACTTCGTCAAAACCACGAAATTAAATATCAACGAACATGTAAGTTTTCCTTAATCCACGAAAATTGGTACCCACGAAAATAAATGAATCCACAGTATCTGCTTCTTGCTTGAACAATTCAAAACTGTTAAATCAAAAGAATCCATTACACAAATCTTCAACCACAATTAGTAAATCAAATGCCAAAAAATGTAAAACAAACTTGCTAATTCAATACAATTTATTCGTCTGGAACAAACATTTCAGAATTTCAAAACTTCTTATCGAAAAGAAATAAATCAAAAAGAATTGATGAAAATTGATATAACTGACAGACAAATTGGTACATGATTATATTTTCCTTCAATTCTTCACTTTAAAAATCTTTAATGAATAGAGATCTATGAAAGTAAATTACTTAGCATAATAATTTCTTTCAACTGAACATAATGAAATATACCAACAATATCAATTTGGAAGTTAGGTCGTCCAAAACTTACTGTGTTCATATAATTACTTTTGCTCTGTTTGAATAAACATTTTCTACATTTGGTACTGGCATACATCATAAATATAAAGGTTCATGATAAATTGCACCTGTAAGTGAGAGCACAACCTGATAAATGAGATGACTTAAAATATAATGCAACAATTTAGGACTCCAAAATGGGGGTCTCCCCCAATGGCCCTTAAATCACAATGAACATAACTTTCCATGCATCATTAGTCAAACATCTCAGGATATATCACAATTTTACATATTTTCAATGCTTTTCTATGCGTTAAAAAGATGCATGTAACTACAGCACATTGGAAGAATTTCAGGTGGCACCTCAAAGTAATATAATGTCAGTGATTTCTTAGATTTACCATTGTTCAGCTCCATAATGCATTTGAGCATGAATTATGTCACCCTACTATCGATAAATGCTTCCATATCCAGCTAAATGCTTCAGTAAAGCCAATGATCACATGATTGTCAACAGTATCAATAACAATGACCTTCATACAATTGTCCCCGGCCATGAAACAACTGTCAAGGTCACAGCACCATCAGCCATCTTGAGTAGTTCTACTGCTTTTGAATGTGTAACATTATGTAAACTATGTTCATTAACACTAAGCATAATATCACCACATCTGAAAAATATAAACAATTGCTTTATAATTATACCAGGAGTTCAGGTGTTTAGAGCTATTTTGATATGACATACTGTTTTGGGTATGTAAACAAAACTTTTATCTCTATTGCTCATGTGTACAACTTATTGTTTACATTCTTGTCTATTCATACTACATTCTAAATACATTACCTAGATGGTAAGGGGAAAATTTATGAAATATTCTTAAACAAGAGTGCACATGCTGAAATGTCTTGCCTGCTAAACTGATCATGTATTATTGAATTTATGCTGAAAGTCTTTAAGACAAAAGTTTTTCTACATCTTTCACATAAACTTAACATTATTTACAATTCATGTAAATGAAGTCAAGGTTAGATTACCCTGCCAGACAGACAAGTACAACTTACACTCATTCATTTTATAAAATATAGTTTTACATTTGGTTCATAGTATCTGAGAAACATCCCTTACCTCCAAAACCTAACAATTTTTTAAGTAATCTCATTTCATACAGAGGGAATATAAAAAAAATAAACAGCTATGCCATGAGCGCATGATACGCCCGTCGTCTTGTGTGTGAATTTTTATGCCATTAGCATAAATAGTTTCTGACATACGGCGTGACATGCAAAAACCCCCTTTTTTTTTTTACAAAAAACTCAATATCTCTAAAATAAAATTTTGAATCAAAACCAAAAAGTATACAGATCTTTAGATTAATATAACTAAGAAGTGTGTAAAATTTTAAGCAATAATCATAAATCGTTTTTGAGATACCGCACGACATGTGAAAACCCCCCTTTAAAAAAAAAAAAAATCAATATCTCAAAAATAAAATTTTGAATCATCACCAAAAAGTATACAGATCTTAAGTTTAATATAACTAAGAAGTGTGTAAAGTTTTAAGCAATAGTCATAAACTGTTTTTGAGATACGGCGCGACATGTGAAAAACCCCTCCCCATTTTTTAACAAAATACTCAATATCTCTAAAATAAAATTTTGAATCATCACCAGAAAGTATACAGATCTTAAGATTAATATAACTAAGAATTGTGTAAAGTTTTAAGCAATAATCATAAATTGTTTTTGAGATAGGGCGTGACATGTGAAAAAAAACACACACCTGTTTTAGTTACTAAGTCACGTAACTCAAAAAGTTTTAATCTTATTTTCACCAAAAAGTATACAGATCATTTGACCATCATAAGAAACAACTATGTTAAGTTTCATAAAATTTGGATAAGTCATTCTCAAGTTACGGTGCGACATGTTTACGCCGGACAGACAGACGGACAGATTTGTATACCATAATATGTCCCGTCAAAAATTGACGGGCGTATAAAAACCATCTAAATAATTTGCAATATTTATCTAAACAACTTACTTCAAACGCCCATCTTTATAAGCGGGTGTATCTAAAACAACTGACTTAATATAAACAGGAAGTGTATATGACGTTACTATTTCACTGTCACATCCTCCAACTACCGAAAATCCGAGACTTCCACTTGGACTACGTAACAACGTTACCGTCTTTATGTTCTGACAGTTTCTGAAATAAATATCAAATGAAAATATTGTTCCATTTTTTCATATATCATAATTAATCATATATTCTAATTTTCTGAAGATTTCAATTCACTTAAAACATGAAATCAATTGGAAATCAACATGTCTCATTATAGTTATTTTTTTTTATTATTTTTCAATTACAAGTTGATATAGCTTTATTTCTGAAAATTTACACTGCATAAAATTGAAAAATGGTAGAAATATGTTTAGCTGTTGCTAAAAGTTATTTTGATAAAAAATCATAATTTGCAGATTTAAATAAAAATCTTATATTCAATAATGGATGGATTAGTATTGAACTTCCAGTGGGAAATTTTACATGCATATCAGGGTGTGATCATGTTAATATGATATGAAGTCTACTATGTGCTACACTGAGGCTGAATCTGATTTTTAATGTGTTATTTCACAAAGAAACTATTCAAAACATGTCACCATAACTGAAAATATTATTCTGATGCCTAGCCAACCAGTCTTTGCTCTTACTCCTAAATGGCTTTGCTTAGCTTAGAAGCAGCAAATATCAGTTTTCAAGTCTTTGATTTTACTGGCCAGAGATCCAACCCATGACCTATCCCATTCAAGGCCAGGATACTACCACAAGACCCACTAGGTGATCTATTTTTAAAAGAATCATTTTATAGGTAAATATTTCTCTCCTAATTACTCTAAACAAGTTCTTACCTTGGCATTTGCTGCCAAAATAACCATGTTGGTGTGAAGTTTCCAGGGCCATTTGATGTCTCTGGACCTTCAATAATTTTAATACAAACTACTTTAGACTCTGCATTGGCCTTGACCTGGGTTACAGCCTCATTATGAGTCAAGGCTAATAAGCTAACTCCATTTATAGACAGAAGTATGTCTCCTTTCTGGAAATAATAAAAAAAATAATCTTGAAATCACATTTTTATAAACTACATTTTAAGTTGCTAAATATTTATCAATTATAGGTTATTGTTAATTTTACCACACATCTATATATCTATAATATCTATTGACAATTAATGATTTAGGCTATTCTTTTAAGGTCTCTGTTGGGTATATAGCCTCTTAAGTATTTAAACATTCTTTGCTTTAAAATGTTTAATTTTGAGAATTCCTGATGACTTTAAATCAATAATAGCACTTTGGACCACTAATTTAAAGAAGGTATGTATATGTGCAATACTGTGTGAATTCTCACTTAAATATAACTAAACAGAGTTTTGTATAAGGGACTAATAATTGTTTCAGAATACTATCTTTTATTTTTCAATGTTTATTACCCATATTGCAATATTTAAGTAAGTTCCATTATCTCTTCTTAATCACGAAAGGATAGGATTGTATTCCTTAAAGTTTATTCTCAAAAAGTGTTCTACTACTGTGTAAAGTTTCATCAATATCCGTCTAGCTGTTTAGGAGGCAATATGCTTATAAGAGTCTATAACCACATATAGCAACATTGAAGTAAATAAGTCCATCTTCCCTTTAAAATGTAGAATCAGAATTATATTCCTTTATGTACATCCTCAGGTAGAATTCAGTTTTTCATCTATGGCTGTCTATAGCCATTTAGGAGTTGCACTTACAAGGCATATAGACAGATAGACAGATATACAGCAGTTATGTTATCAGTGATGTCACAATGTGTAAGGAGATATTATCAAGCTTACTTTCGTCAAGTGTAAAACTGTTTCAGGGTGGTGTTAGAGACCAGAATAATTGGGAAAAACAGATTATCAGGTTTTCTGTATATAGATATACAGTAAAACCTGTATAAACAGGCCTGCTACGGGACTATGAAAAAAGGCCAGTTTAGACAGTGGGTTGGTTAATTCAGGTTTCGGTTTTGACAGGAAGTTAATGACTTGTGACGTCAGATATTTTGCATGTAAATTGTAAAATAATAAATACAAATACTGTAATAATCTTTTTATTAAAAGTTATGTCATGATTTGTGTGAAAATATTGTGACAATCTTTGTTTTGAGTCTTCGTATTCATTGGCTTGAGAAATTCCATTTATTGGTTGTCCCCCGAAATTCAAAAAAATAATCTTTTTAAATTTTTTTTTACATATCCTCATATGTCGAATCAACCTTGGTAGCATCAGTCTCCAACTCGTCAGTTTCACTTTGAATTCATTGTTTTCATTTGCATGAGAATCATCGTGGTGTTTGAATTGTTCAACGAGAGTTTCGTTTTACTCCCATAGTTCATTTCCTACGTTGGTATAGCCAATTAAAAAGCAATAATTTTATAAAACTGAATTTCATCATGATCGAAACTTTGTTGTACAATATATGATACCCATAAACTCGACAATGGATTGTCGTCATCCGGGTCTTCTTTATTATCAGGGTCATTTGTTTCAGGGTTCACAACAGGGACCCCAGCATTTTGAAAAAACGACGTAAATTTCTTACTCCGCAATTTGAAAAATTTATCAAAGTTACAACGTAAGTTCTATCCAAGATATATTCAGCGTTTCTTTTAGTTTATTTTAATTTAAACTTAATAATGTTTCAATAATAAAGCTCACTACTGTAAGTTCACGGTTTAACACCTTGCTAATTGATTATCCTGAAAAAAACATCTTGTATAAACAATAATGTTTTGATTGCATAGCGATCAATACTGCTATCATGTTAAATTAATTAAACAAACCGGTTTTGACAGGTAATAATTGATGTAATTAAGAGTATTGGGACTGCATAATTAGACCGGAATTCGGAATACACAGGGTCCGGTTTACAGGGGGTATTTTTACAAAGACTTTGAAGGGAAAAAAATGGGACTTCAATTTTCAGCCAGAATGGACAAGAAACCGGTTTATTCAGATTTGACTGTAGTAAAATATCAGCTGCTTGACACAATGTGAAGCTTTATTGCTGCTCTCACGAGCCAAGAAAGGTTCATGTTGTGAACCACGGCTGATATTTTACAATATCAAAGAGAAGAAAACCTAACAATCTATACTGTCCTGGACTGGTTAATCCTCAAGCTATGGTTTAAATGTATGTTACCTACCTTGACCTGTTTAGATCTGCCCATACAACCATTAGGATTTATATTTGTTACATAAATAGGTGTATCACCTCTAGGACTGTTTAACCCTCCTGCTACACTTATACCTAAAGTTTCTGTTGGATCCTGCAAAACAAATAATGGATACATTATTGATGGGATTGGCCCTGACCCTAGCCATGACCTCACAAGTGGTTGCCCTTGGTTATTTATAAATGTTGTTTTGTCTTTTTGACACTTTGTGTTTATGACAGATCTGTGTAATAATTTCTGTAAAATGTTTTACATTTTTTCTAGACACTTGTTTATTGTTCTGAAGTGAATTTTGGCCTATAGATTTTTTTAAATGTCTGACACAATATTCCTACAAACTTTTGTCTCTGTCTTTAACCTTAACTATATAGTTAGCAGAAAAGCTACATATATTTATGTGAATGTGTTAAGTCTATGTTCCAACATATGAGACTTGGAAATAACCACAAGACCATTGCAACTAGTTCATACAACTAGTAACTAAAATAAACAATAAATGTTCTTTCACAGTATACATTAAAATTTTCAATGGTCAATTAGAAATCTTCGAAAAAAATGTGATCATGTCAAACTACTGGTGCTGACCTTTGTGACAGTAACAAGTTTTTCTCTACACGAATGACAGTGTAAGAACTTTTCAGGTCTAAAATCAGAATTAGCTGTACTGGCAGAACTTTCACATGAGGTAGAACGTATCAGATCTGGTGTCTGTGGACGACTCCGTCTTGATATCACAAATTGCACTTTATCTTCACATATCTTCAATATATAAATACATTGGTTACAATGAAATAATGACAAATCACAGTCAAATAAAAAAACCTACCTTTCGCATGTGAATTAAACTCAGTAAATTGACACCTCTTTTTGTCCTACAACAATCATCATTTATGAAGATGTATCAAAACAAAGTGAGACAAATAAATAGTACAAGTTCCTTGCATTTTCTAAATACTTTTACATGTAATACTAAGAATGAGCAAATCAAAGAATTCTAGTATCTAAAAACATTAAAAAGGTAACTAAACAAGACTGATAATTCCCTTGTGTCCTTCACACATTTCTAAATGAATGTGGTTATTTGGTCACTTTTTAAATATTTATGAAATAATTAATCCAAGATCTTCATTATCCAAAAATATCAAAGAGTGACCAAATAACACATTAATTCATGAATCCTGTAGTGCATGAGTCAATTATCTGTGTTGTGTAGTAAAGAGTTTTTTGTTACCATCCAATAATTCTTATATGATTTGCATATTAGTGAATACGTTCATATGATTGGCCGAGAAGGCTTCCGGTAGTTGCTCTTGAAGTTATTTATTTTTCGATAGTCGACGTTGATGGAACTACTCTTTGTAACCAATTAAACAAGATCGATGATAACACAAACCAGCTCAACGTAAAAAATATTTATTTTCACTTCACGTTCGTCTTTAAATTACATAATAAACACAAAACATTCATTTGAATGATAATAAGATATTTTTGTAGTTTATTTTTCACCAGAAAGCAAATTTCAAGGATAAATTTTTTTTGCATTAACCAAAAAATATATTCATGCACCAGGCCAATTCAATGACACAAATATACAATTTACACATTATGAAGGTTATGGGTGGCGAAATTAAATTAATTTTCTCCAATTTTAAAGAATTATAAGAATTAAATGCCTTTTTAAAGGAATTTATTGGTGTATAAACTGAACCAAGTCACTCACAAACATCTTCAGACTTTTATTTGTTTGTGAGTAACTTGGTTCAGTTTATACACCAATAAATTCCTTTAGAAAGGCATTTAATCCTATAGTACATTTTACTTCAGATTGAATTTATGTTCCACTTTTCACTACACCGTAATGTTCCAATTTCCTATTGTCAAAATGAAACCTGTATGACTTGAGCAGCTTCTTCCTGAGAACCATATGACACATCTTTACCATTAATCTCTAAACTTACCTGTATGACTTGAGCAGCTTCTTCCTGAGAATCATACGACACATCTTCAGCATTAATCTCTAAACTTACCTGTATGACTTGAGCAGCTTCTTCCTGAGAACCATACGACACATCTTTACCATTAATCTCTAAAACTCTATCGTCTGGTGTTAACCGACCATCTTGTGCTGCTAAACTATCTGGGACCTATAAATATATCCGTATTTACTGTTAAAAAAGTTGGAAGATATCAAAGGTTAGATTAATTACAAGTCAAATAGAAATGTCAATAAATCATTATAAAGTCTTAAACGACTATTTATCTATTTATCGTAACAAAATATCTTAAATCTATGAATGAATATTTTCGTCAAATGCTTGTCATATAAAAGATCATTCAATATATTATATATAATTAGTCATTTATTAGTCATTTTTATATAAAATCAACATACTCATTTCATCCCCATAACCTAGGTTATCCAAAACAGTTTAATTGTCTACTTTATACTGAAACTTAGTTAAATAGTTACTTACTAGATTAAGAATATACACTCCTGTACCATTCCTGAAAAAGTAAAAATCTTACTGTAACTTTTTAAAATTTGGTTGATATTTTTTGGTCTTTTATTTTTCTTTCTTTTTATTTTTGTTTATTTTAGTCAAATGATAACCCTTATCAACAGGTCATATTAATATTCAAGAAGGTATTAAGCCCCTCATAATTAATAAAATAGCATGTGAGCACTGCATAAAGGGCTAAGACTGCTTTAAGTTTACAATGTGAACATAAATAAATTGTTGAATTGTTTTTACCAGTGGAACACATATCAGCAATATTCCAAATTGCCTATTTGTAGTACTCAGTACTAGTAGTAGAGATAGATTCATATACCATCAAGGATTTCTATACAAATCCTTGATACCATTCACAAATTATCTAATTAGAATAGTTTCCTTGACAAGTATGGTTATACATATCATTTTGTAACTTGGATATTTGAGTATACATTGTAAATAAATTGCATGGCATGGACTGGATAGGATCTATGAGAATGTTGACCCCTCTGCACTATGTTGTCTGAACTCTCAAAGGTAGATATAAGGCCTGGAAGATACAGCTATCATGCCAGTGACATAAGAGGGGCAGAAGGACCTTTTTTGGAAAGTTGGGATTGGGCCTTTATTTTTTTGCGGGAATTCCGGATTGGGCCTTTATTTTTGTGGAAATTTGTGATTTACACCTATTGGGACTCTGGATTTGATGATTAATTTTTTAGGATCCAGGAAAAAATACTTAATTTTTTCGGGAAATCGGGATAAAACCCCTCCTACTCCCCCTCACATAAGGGTTTTGATTGCATTTCATGTGATCTTTACCCCAAAATTGTAAAGATTATCAATTATCAATGTTCAGATTCTATATTTGGTCTAGCTTTTATAATAAAGCTTACCTCTTTCCAACAAGTTTTATACCAAGCTGTTTTCCTTTCTCTTTGGTCAGAGTTATCTTTAATATTTCTAATAAAAAAGACAATAAATAGATTTCAAGATGTTGCTAAAATATTGCAGTATCAGAAACAAATATGTTTACAATTACAAAGTTTTAATTGTTTCCCCATTGATCCAAGACAAATAGTCATATATGATGGTATATCAATAGGAAATTACATGGCAGCTAATCCGACAAAACTTTAAAAGCTCAAAAATATAAGCATTACTAAGGACAAATGAACATTAGAAATATGTTGATCTCTGTTTCCCCTGTATTTAATTCTTCCTTATGAATATACCCACACAAAAATCATCTTTAGCTAAGAGACAAATGAGAAATTTGAATTACAGATGCCAGCTGAATCTAAGAAGCAGCCAGATATCTTTTAACTTAAACTTTAACATATAAACCACATGCATAGACATTTGAGAAGTTGAACAAGGGACAAAACTATTACAAATCACTGGTACATTATGTTAACCATTTTCATAAATATATTGTAAGCTTCCAAATTACACTGACTAATTTAATTCAGCTTCCCATGATTGAATAAATAAAATAGCTATTGTTCTCTGTCAAAGAGAACTTTAAATTTCTCCTTGAAAAACCAATCATTTATTGATTAATTTAATTGTACAAAAAAATAAAATGCTTCGCTGAGCGCAGCCTGATAAGACCGCAGAGGTCAAACCCTGAACAGTTGTGGCAAATTTGGACACAATATTCAAGCTTGATTTGATTGTGATCAAATTTTTGACATAATATAGGTTTCTGACACAAAATAAATGTGGTCTTAGATCTTATCAATCCATTGCGCAATACTGTGCAATTGAAGATTTCTTCCTGAAACTTTTTAAAAAATTCGAAATTTTAAAAATTTTGAAAAAAAAATATGAATCCCTTAAAAAAAATTGGGAAAAAAATTCCCCCCCCCCCCCACTTTTTGAAACCCCCCTTGGAGCAATAACCCCAAAACTCAATCCCAGCCTTTCCTTTGTAGTATGGAACCTTGTAGTACAATTTCAGAGAGATCCATACATTTACACACAAGTTATTGTCTGGAAACTAGAAAAATGCTTGTTTTTGGCAGTTTTTTGGCCCCTAATTCCTACATGTTTGGGACAATTTACCCCAAACTCAAACCCAGCCTTCCCTTTGTTATATGGAACCTTGTGATACAATGTCAGAGAGATCCATACACTTACACACAAGTTATTGTCTGGGAACTAGAAAAAATGCTTGTTTTTGGCCCCTTTTTTGCCCTTAATTCCTAAACTGTTGGCCCCCATAACCCCTGAAATGAATCCCAACCTTCTACTTGTTGTATTAAACATTGTGGTACAATTTCAGAGCAAACGAAATACTTATACACAAGTTCTGCAACTAGAATAAAATGCTTCGCTGGGCGCAGCTTGATAAGACCGCAGAGGTCGAACCCTGAACAGTTGGGGCAAGTATCGACACAACATTCAAGCTTGATACACACTGAATTTAGATTGTGATTAAATATTTGACACAGCATAGGTTTCTGACACAGAATGAATGTGGTCTAAGAACTTAGAAATTATTAATTGACCTATTCAAACCATATCATTATTATTTGCTTTTACATATAAATCAGAAATAACCAATTAAAAATGGAAAATTTTAAAGAAAAAAAAAGGGAAAAAAAAATCCCTCCCCCAAATTTTTTGCCCCTTATGATTCATCACCCCAAAATTCAATCTAAGCCTTCCCTTTATGGTATGGTACCTTGCAGTACAATTTCAGAGCGATCCATACACTTGAACACAAGTTATTGTCTGGAAACAAGAAAAATGCTAGTTTTTTTGCCCCTTTTTTGCCCCAAACTCCTAAACGTTTAGGGCAATTACCCCCAAACTCAAACCCAGCTTTCCCTTTGTGATATGGAACCTTGTAGTACAATTTCATAAAGATCCATACACTTACACACAAGTTATTGTCCTGAAACTAGAAAAATGCTTGTTTTTGGCCCCTAATTCCTAAGAGTTTGAGGCAATTACCCCCAAAATCAATCCCAGCCTTCCCTTTGTGGTATGGTACCTTGCAGTACAATTTCCGAGAGATCCATACACTTACACACAAGTTATTGTCATGAAACTAGAAAAATGCTTGTTTTTTTGCCCCCTTTTCGGCCCCCTAATTCCTAAAATTTTGAGGCAATTACCCACAAAATCAATCCCAGGATTCCCTTTGTGATATGGAACCTTGTAGTACAATTTCATAAAGATCCATACACTTGAACACAAGTTATTGTCTGGCACTAGAAAAATGCTTAATTTTGGCCCTTTATTCCTAAACGTTTTGGGCAATTACCCCCAAACTCAATTCCAGCTTTCCCTTTGTGATATGGAACCTTGTAGTACAATTTCATAAAGATCCATACACTTAAACACACGCTATTGTCTGGAAACTAGAATAAACAGCTGCGCCATGAGCGCATGATACGCCCGTCATCTTGTGTGTGAATTTTTATGCAATAAGCATAAATAGTTTCTGACATACGGCTTTATTTGACATGCGAAAACCCCCTTTTTTTTTTTACAAAAAATCAATATCTCTAAAATAAAATTTTGAATCAAAACCAATAAGTATACAGATCTTAAGATTAATATAACTAAGAAGTGTGTAAATTTTTAAGCAATAACCATAAATCGTTTTTGAGATACGGCGCGACATGTGAAAACCCCTCCTTTAAAAAAAAAAAAATCAATATCTCAAAAATAAAATTTTGAATCAAAACCAAAAAGTATACAGATCTTTAGATTAATATAACTAAGAAGTGTGTAAAATTTTAAGCAATAATCATAAATTGTTTTTGAGATACGTCGCGACATGTGAAAAACCCCTCCCTCTTTTTTTACAAAATACTCAATAACTCAAAAATAAAATTTTGAATCATCACCAAAAAGTATACAGATCTTAAGGTTAATATAACTAAGAAGTGTGTAAAGTTTTAAGCAATAATCTTAAATTGTTTTTGAGATACGGCGCGACATGTGAAAAACCCCTCCCCCTTTTTTAACAAAATACTCAATATCTCTAAAATGAAATTTTGAATCATCACCAAAAAGTATACAGATCTTAAGATTAATATAATTAAGAAGTGTGTAAAGTTTTAAGCAATAATCATAAACTGTTTTTGAGATACGGCGCAACATGTGAAAAAAAACACACACCTGTTTTAGTTACTAAGTCCCTTAACTCAAAAAGTTTTAATCTTATTTTCACCAAAAAGTATACAGATCGTTTGACCATCATAAGACACAACTATGTTAAGTTTCATGAAATTTGGATAAGTCATTCTCAAGTTACAGTGCGACATGTTTACGCCGGACAGACAGACGGACGGACAGACAGACGGACAGACGCCGGACATTTGTATACCATAATACGTCCCGTCAAAAATTTGACGGGCGTATAAAAATGCTTATTTTTGGCCCCTTATTCCTAAACGTTTTGGGCAATTACCCCCAAACTCAATTCCAGCTTTCCCTTTGTGATATGGAACCTTGTAGTACAATTTCAGAGAGATCCATACACTTACACACAAGTTATTGTCCTGAAACTAGAAAAATGCTTGATCTTTGCCCCTTTTTGGCCCCTTATTCCTAAAATTTTGAGGCAATTACCCCCAAAATCAATCCCAGCCTTCCCTTTGTGGTATGGTTTTTGCAGTACAATTTCAGAGAGATCCATACACTTGAACACAAGTTATTGTCTGGAAACTAGAAAAATGCTTATTTTTGGCCCCTTTTTGGCCCCTTATTCCAAAACGTTTTGAGCAATTACCCCCAGACTCAATTCAAGCTTTTCCTTTGAGATATGGAACCTTGTGGTACAATGTCAGAGAGATCCATAAACTAACACACAAGTTATGTCTGGAAGTTACAATAAAATGCTCTGCTGGGGCGCAGCTTGATACAACCGCAGAGGTCGAACCCTGAACAGTTGGGGCAAGTATGGACACAACATTCAAGCTTGACACAGCACTGAATTTGGATTGTAATTAAATATTTGACACAGCATAGGTTTCTGACACAGAATGAAAGTGGTCTAAGAACTTAAAAATTTTTAATTTACCTATTCAAACCATATCATTATTATTAGCTTTTATATATAAATCAGAAATAACCAATTTAAAATGGAAAATTTTAAAGAAAAAAATGGAAAAAAACCTCCCCCCCCCCCAAATTTTTTGAACCCCCTTATGATTTATCACCCCCAAACTCAATCCCAGCCTTCCCTTTGTGGTATGGTACCTTGCAGTACAATTTCAGAGAGATCCATACACTTGAACACAAGTTATTGTCTGGAAACTAGAAAAATGCTTGTTTTTTGGCCCCTTTTTGGGCCCCAAATTCCTAAACGTTTAGGGCAATTACCCCCAAACTCAAACCCAGCTTTACCTTTGTGATATGGAACCTTGCAGTACAATTTCATAAAGATCCATACACTTACACACAAGTTATTGTCCTGAAACTAGAAAAATGCTTGTTTTTTTGCCCTTTAATGGCCCCTAATTACTAAAAATTTGAGGGAATTACCCCCAAAATCAATCCCAGCCTTCCCTTTGTGGTATGATACATTGCAGTACAATTTCAGAGAGATCCATACACTTGAACACAAGTTATTGTCTGGAAACTAGAAAAATGCTTATTTTTGGCCCCTTATTCCTAAACTTTTTGGGCAATTACCCCCAAACTCAATTTCAGCTTTCCCTTTGTGATATGGAACCTTTTTGTACAATTTCATAAAGATCCATACACTTACACACAAGTTATTGTCATGAAACTAGAAAAATGCTTGTTTTTTGCCCCTTTTTGGCACCTTATTACTAAATATTTGAGGGAATTACCCCCAAAATCAATCCCAGCATTCCCTTTGTGTTATGGAACCTTGTGATACAATGTCAGAGAGATCCATACACTTACACACAAGTTATTGTCATGAAACAAGAAAAATACTTGTTTTTGGCCCCTTTTTGGCCCCTAATTCCTAAAATGTGGAGGCAATTACCCCCAAAATCAATCCCAGCATTCCCTTTGTGATAAGGAACCTTGTGGTACAATGTCAGAGAGATCCATACACTTACACATAAGTTATGTCTGGAAATTACAAAAATGCTTATTTTTGGCCCTTAATTCCTTAACTGTTGGTACCATAACCCCCAAAATCAATCCCCACCTTCCTTTTGTGATATTGAACCTTATGGTAAAATTTCATTGAGATCCATTTACTTAAACTAAAGTTAGAGTGCGAAAACTAATGTGTCTTCGGACGACGACGACGACGACGCCAACGTCATACCATTATATGACCACAAAAATTTTTTTGCGGTCGTATACAAATGCTTATTTTTGGCCCCTTTTTGGCCCCTCATTCCTTAACTGTTGGTACCATAACCCCCAAAATCAATCCCAACCTTTCTTTTGTGGTATTGAACCTTATGGTAAAATTTCATAAAGATCCATTCACTTAAACTAAAGTTAGAGTGCGAAAACCAATGTGTCTGGGACGATGACGATGACGTCGACGACGCCAATGTCATACCAATATACGACCACAAAAATTTTTTTGCGGTCGTATAACAATGCTTGTTTTGGGCCCCTTTTTCCTAAACGGTTGGGACCATCATCCCCAAAATCAATCCCAACCTTCCTATTGTGGTAATGAACCTTCTTAAAAATTTCATACAGATCCATTCACTTATACTAAAGTTATTGTCCGAAAAGCCATGTGTCTTCGGACGACGACATCATACCATTATACCATCCCAAAAATCTTTTTGTGGTCGTATAAAAACTCCAGGTACCTTCTTTTTCTATAGGTCTGTTTTCCTCTGCCTTCTCTCTATAGACAGTCACCCTACAGACAGGATAATAATGTGATAAAGCTTGCTGGGCCTGGTAATGTGTAGCCTGAGTCAGATCTTCACCATTTACCTACAAAATAATAAGGTAACATAATTTGATAAGATGCTGGGCTTTGTAGTGTGTAGCCTGAGTCAGATCTTCACCATCCCCTACAAAATAAGGTTATTATGTGATAAGATTGCTGGGCTTTGTAGTGTGTAACCAGGATCAAACTTTCACCATTCACCTATAAAAATGTTATAATGTGTTAAGATTGCAGAGCCATGGTAGTGTGTATCCTGGGTCAGATATTCACCATTCACCTACAAAATAAGGTTATAATAAGACATGATTGCTGGGCCTTGTAGTGTAGAGCCTGGGTCAAATCTTCACCAATCAAAAACAAAAAGGTTATTTAAGAATTGAATATTTCTTTTTGTAATTTTATTGAGGTGTAAAAACATTGACCAGGCACATTTTGTATGAAGCCTGTAATTAGGTTGTTTTCATAGTTTGCTGTTTATAAAACTTGTATCCGCCTATTGGTTTTTATCATTTGAATTGTTTCACATTTTGTCATGTCCAAACCTTTTACAGTTGACTAATACAGTGTCAGGTTTTATCGTTGTTGAAGGTAGTAAAGTGACCTTTAGAGGCTTACATTCACTGCTGAGATATTAAGCAGTTAAGAAGAGGTAGTTGACAAAATTTAGGCTTAAGATTACAAATAAAACAAGCAAACAATAAAAAACAAGCATTCTGAGAGTATTGCATGGCAATACATAGTCCCCTACCGGTTAAAAATTAATTGTACTGGAACAAAATGCTAACTTGATCTATAACTTGTCATGGTGTAAACTATAAAACAAATATTAAGTCAATATCTTCAAGCATGATGAAAAAAAGTGTGGAAAACTGATAATTTAAGTGAATTTTCTATGTCCAAGGACCATAACTCTGCAAAAAAAATCATCAAACCGAAACAAAATTCAATCTTGGTCTGTAACTTGTCATGATAAAACTAAATACCAATTATCAAATCAATATCTTCAAGCATGACAAAAAAAAGTTCAGAAAACTGATTATTTGAGTGAATTTTCTAAGTCCAAGGACCATAACTCTGCACAAAATTATCAGACCGAAACAAAATTCGAACTTGATCTGTAACTTGTCATGATAAAACAATATACCAAATACCAAATCAATATCTTCAAGCATGGAGAAAAAAAGTGTGGAAAACTGATTTGCCTGACTGACAGAAGAACAGACAGACTGACAGACAGACGGACAGACAGACTGACAGACAGACAGACAGACAGACAGACAGACAGACGAACAGAGTGCAAACCTAAAGTCCCCTTCGACTTCATCGGTAGGGGATTAATAAATGTGGATAGTGTCCACATGTGGACACAGATGATGCCCACGCTTGCATATCATATAGTTATAAAGGGACATAACTGAAGAACGGTAAAAGTGCCGCTACCCAAATTTGAACTTGATCTGAGTTTTGTGGTAATAAGCATTGTGTGTAAGTCTCATAACATTTGGTTGAGACTAACTTAAGTCGAGAACAGAAACTAAAAATTCAGCAATTTTTTTATTTGTAAACGCATAACTCTAGAATGGTTGTGTATAAGTTTTATAACATTTGGTTGACACAAAATAAAGTTAGAGAACTGAAACGAAAAATTCAACAATTTTTATGCTTATAAAGGGACATACCTCAAGAATGGTACAAGTGTCGCCACCAAATTTCGTACTTAATCTGTATTATGTAGTAATAAGCATTGTGTATAAGTTTCATAACATTTGGTTGAGGCAAACTAAAGTTAGAAACTTGATCTTAGTTTTGTGGTAATGAATATTGTGTATAGGTTTCATAATGTTTGGTTGGGGCAAACTTATGTTACAGAATGGAAACTAAAAATTTTGCAATCTATTGATTTATAAAGGGGCATAACTCAATAATGGTTAAAGTGACACTACCCAAATTCAACTTGATCTGTGTTTTATCAGTGGAAGTCAAAATTAAACATTGCATTGTATAAAGCATTGATTGTAAATGACTCAACTATAATAATGGACAAATGGAGATAACTCCAATTTTAATAAAATGCTCCGCTGGGCGCAGCTTGATACGACCGCAGAGGTCGAACCCTGAACAGTTGGGGCAAGTATGGACACAACATTCAAGCTTGATACAGCACTGAATTTGGATCGTAATTAAATATTTGACACTGCATAGGTTTCTGACACAGAATGAATGTGGTCTAAGAACTTAAAAGATTTTAATTTACCTATTCAAACCATATCATTATTATTTGCTTTTATATATAAATCAGAAATAACTAATTTAAAATGGAAAATTTTAAAGAAAAAAAAGGAAAAAAAATCCCCCCCCCCCCAATTTTTTGAACCCCCTTATGATTCATCACCCCCAAACTCAATCCCAGCCTTCCCTTTGTGGCATGGTACCTTGCAGTACAATTTCAGAGAGATCCATACACTTGAACACAAGTTATTGTCTGGAAACAAGAAAAATGCTTGTTTTTTTGTCCTGTTTTGGCCCCAAATTCCTAAACGTTTCGGGCAATTACCCCCAAACTCAAACCCAGCTTTCCCGTTGTGATATGGAACCTTGTAGTACAATTTCATAAAGATCCATACACTTACACACAAGTTATTGTCCTGAAACTAGAAAAATGCTTGTTTTTTTCCCCTTTTTGGCCCCTAATTCCTAAAATTATGAGGCAATTACCCCCAAAATCAAGCCCAGCCTTCCCTTTGTGGTATGGTACCTTGCAGTACAATTTCAATTACACTTAAACATAAGTTATTGTCTGGAAACTAGAAAAATGCTTATTTTTGGCCCCTTATTCCAAAACGTTTTGGGCAATTACCCCCAAACTCAATTCCAGCTTTCCCTTTGTGATATGGAACCTTGTAGTACAATTTCAGAGAGATCCATACACTTACAGTCACAAGTTATTGTCATGAAACTAGAAAATGCTTGTTTTTTGCCTCTTTTTGGCCCCTAATTCCTAAAATTTGGAGGCAATTACCCCAAAATCAATCCCAGCATTCCCTTTGTGATATGGAACCTTGTGGTACAATGTCAGAGAGATCCATACACTAACACACAAGTTATGTCTGGAAGTTACAAAAATGCTTATTTTTTGCCCCTTTTTCCTTAACTGTTGGTACCATAACCCCCAAAATCAATCCCGACCTTCCTTTTGTGGTATTGAACCTTATGGTAAAATTTCATAGAGATTCATTCACTTAAACTAAAGTTAGAGTGCGAAAACCAATGTGTCTTCGGACGACAACGACGACGACGCCAACGTCATATCAATTTACGACCGCAATTTGCGATCGTATAAAAATTACTTGATATTTAGAAGAAAATAAAAATTTTGCAATTTTTCCATTTATAAAGGGGCATAACTCTAGAACGGTTAAAGTGACACCACCAATATTCATACTTGATCTGTGTTTTGTGGTAATAAGCATTGTGTATAAGTTTCATAACATTTGGTTGAGGCAAACTTAAGTTAGAGAACGGAAACTAAACATTTTGCAATTTTTCCATTTATAAAGGGGCATAACTCTAGAACGGTTAAAGTGACGCCACCAAAATTCAAACTTGATCTGTGTTTTGTGGTAATAAGCATTGTGTATAGGTTTCATAACATTTTGTTGAGGCAAACTCAAGTTAGAAAACGGAAACCAATTTTGGGACGTACGTACGTACGTACAGACGTACAAGGCTAAAACTGCTATGGCGGGGGTCATAAAAATGCCATGATTTTTTGTAGTGATACAGAATTCTTCAAATAACTTCTTTTTTAAAAATTTATCAGGATTTTTTAATACTGAATTAGGTCGATCAATAATTAGAATAGTTTGCCTTTTATATTACAGACTAATATTTTCAGCCTTAGAGATTCAAACGTAAAACATAACAGACAATGTCAATATTTATATGACACTAAGACTCAGATATCAGACTAATAGTAATTTGAATGAAACTTAGCTGTAAAACTTTTAATTTGTTCTGACTACACTAAATAATTAAATTATATATAGGAAAGATGAGAATGGTTGTCATTGCTGCAAGGTTTTCCTGTATTCATTTCTCCATGTTTCACCACATGATTGGAGTCTTCAGAACTAATATGTAGTTGTTTATTAGTATTAAAACTGTGGTTCAACATCTTATGTAATGTTATTGCCTTTAAAAAGGTTTAATTAATGTCATTAAAATGAAAGAAAATTAACTGGGAGTTTTTCTCAGTTATAAACGTTAATTAAGGCAAGATAATTTGATCTACAAATGTAAGTCATATTATTTGTCAGTAACTAGACTAAAGGTTTTGTATCAGCTTGGCAATTCTAAATTTCATAAATGTATATAAAAAGTGAAATTAAAACAGGATTAAATTATTAATCACAATATCTTCTCTACAATAATTAAAACAACAATCAACCAATCAATGAATTCAACCAACCAAAGAATTTAAATAGACACAAGACTTTCTCTACAAAAAGGAATTAAAACAACAACCAACCAATCTAAAAATTTTAATAGTTATAATACTGGCTGCAGTCCTTTTGTACCAATTGATATTTTTGAGATGTATCATTTGTGCCAAATATTATTTTTCAAAGGTATCAATTGTGCCAATATACAAGATTCATTTGTGCCAATGATATTATATATTTTGAAAACTAGTGGCGGAAATGAAGCATTGGCGTAATTGTGTTGTGGTGCAAAATAATGCATTTTTGGGGGAAACAGATTTCTCCCATACTATTTTTCTACATAGTGGATTAAAACTGCATCAACTAATCAATTTAACAATATTGTCCATATGTTATCTACAAAGTGGTATCAAATTATCTACCCACCAATGAATCAAATGTCAAAATACTTTCTCTACAAAGTGGTATATTAAAACTTTTCGTAAGTGATTTTTTTACGCGACTTTCTCGAGTAGAAAAATAACGCGAATATAAATCGTCGTGAGCATTTTAAACTTGGATCTTTCCTTATCTAACTACATCAAGTGAATTTGAAGATCACGAAATCAAATCGCCGCGAAGTGAGCTAGAAAGGGCTAAATGCGAAATAAAGTATCCGAGAAAAATAAGTTGGTTTACAGTTTGAGAATGTAGCTTTGACCATCTCATTATGTCTCAATCTGACTGATATACAGATCCTATGTCTTTGATTACAAGGATCTGACAAAGCTACTTTCTATTTTCTGCTTTAAAGACTGTTTGGATTCTGATATTGTCTTATTAATACCCACCTTCAAAAACTTTAAGGCAGAAATTCTTTGACTGATGTAATGATACCCAGATCAGAATGATATCAGATCCTTGTAAATATGTGAAACATTTCAGCATTCAATATATTGATTACAGATTAAAATTAATTTGGTTTAGTGGTGTTTTTTTCAGTACTTTTAGTTTCATTGTAATTCATATGAACTGACAAGTCAATCTGAATCATGAACTAAATGGTTCCTGCCAAATATTTGTAAAATGACATTTTCCAAAAACAATAATGTTTTATGTACAACATGTACAATAAACATAATTATTTTATTGTGATCCACCAGGTTGTATTGCTGAGTAGTGAGAGGGGGATTCAGTGGGAGAGTGGTGTTAGTAGTTCATCTTCAGTGATCACTACCCTAACACTGAAGTTGTGAGTTTAAAGCCCGCTTTGGCAAGGACGTGACAATATAGACAAGAGTGCTGAAAGTGGCATTAAACACCAACAATCAAACAATCAATCTGAACAGTGAACAAGGAAAACAATTATTTTTATTTTTATCTACCATCTATGAATTGCAGTCTAATAGTTTATCAATTCTTAGTTCCTGGTGTGGAAAATGTCTACAACATACTGGAGAGTAGATAAATCATTTGAGTCAGAATATCATGTAACAGAGAATAAAACTAAAAAAAGAATTCCCTTTAGATTAGCATGCAATAAAAACATTATTTTTCTGTAAATTTGCGTGAAACAACATATCAATAAAAGCCATGCACCTTTAGCTGTTCTGAAACAAGTTAAAAACTTAATTGTCATCAGAAGCCAACCTGACTATATCATTGACAAAGTCATTACTTATAATTAAACAAATACTGCGTTTCTCAACTCACAATAATTTAAACTGTCATTCTATGAGAGATGTGATAATAAAAGATGTCAAATGGACAGGCTGTAATCATAGATGTCAAATTCATAGAAAAGCTGTTATTACTTAATTATACCCTCGCATGTACATTAATAAAATTTAATTTGTTCAAACTTGAGAACTTCCAAACAACATGTTTATTAGAAGAAAAAAGTCTGCAAAATCAACATTTTGATGTTGATAAGAAAAACAAAAGTCTGCAACTCAACATTTTGACGCTAGTCTATAGAATGAAGTTCCCATTTTCCGATGTTTTGTAATCATACTCAATTACAGAACAACTATAAATAACACCATAATTCCTTTCCATAATGAATTCTAACAGGAAAAGTTAATTGTATTCACACATACTTGTATGGTTTTCATTTAAAAGCCAATAAAAAACACCTCATATACGGAACAACATTAGTAGTGAAACTGAAAATGCTTGTTTTTGGAACAAAACGATATCTTTATAGAAAATATATTTTCTCAATGTTTATGTAAATAAAAAATGTGTGATTGACAACTGTAATATGTGTAGTTTGTTCCTACACTTGTGAGATTGCAATAACTTTCTTTCTCAGCAGATTTGTCATTGCTTTATTTTCTAATAGTCAATTTTATCCCATAAAATAATATTAACCTCTAATATTTGGTCTCCTGGCTTCAATCTGCCATCTTTTGCTACCACACCTTCTGGAAAGACTTCTTGTATAACTATACACACCTACAAAATATCAATTTATAAGATTCATGAAAAAATGTATTGTAATGCAAATTATATCTCAAGAATTTGAATGGATAGATGTCACACAATTTCAAAACTTTTAACAGCTTAAAACATTCTTCTAAATAATACTCTACTCTACTGGTACAAGTTACACTTTACATTTTAAGCAAGTGTAACTGTTACATATTTTAGTTCTTGGTTCCAATTTACTGGTGTTGTATCTAGTGTCCAGTTATGACATTATAAGTTCCCTCCAAAATGTAAATACCTTCCAATTTAATCACATCTTACGGATGTTTGCTTAACTCTGTTTCAAAATAACAAACTTTTTAAAAGACCGTTCTAAAATGATAGTATATAAATAAAGGAACTAAAAAAGCTGAAAAAAATGAAGGGTCCGTGTGCTTGTTTTCGAGATATAAGCCATTGAAAATTTGGCGGGAAATGATTCTCTCTAGATTTTTCATACTTTTAACATGCTTTTTTGTTTCAAAAACTATGAAAAAATAATAAGGATTTTATAAGATTTTCCAATATGGCTTTTTAAACTATATGTAATAAAATTATGAAAAGAAAGTAGGGGTTAGCGGGCAAAATTTTTTAATGGCAATAAATGGATAAAACAAGAGGATTCCGAAAATCTGACAAAAATTCAAAAACAAGAGGAAGCAAACATCCTTAAAATGAAAGATGCAATAATTAGAATGAGATATTAGATTTTTAAAGAAACTACATGTTCTTACTTAAAGCACATGCTCCAAAATACTAATACCTAAATCAGCTATTTTTGTAATCATGCTTCATCTCCTTATTTTCTATATTAGCCTGGGAGAATATGATTTATGTATAAATTGTACCTGCTTTGAACTAGCTTTCAGTAATCATGAGTAATCTTAGATCAGCCTTTTTGTGTTTTTTTTGTTTTTATGATAGTTGTTGTTTGTGTTTTGTGTCAATCTGATGAGTCAAACCATTTCAAACTCAGTTTTACAGTTTGTTCTTATGTTGTGCTGTTGCACCAATGTTCGATGTTGTGGAGGTTTGAGCACTCACAAACACGTTTAAATCCGCCACATTCTTAATGTGTCTGTCCAATGTCAGAAGCCTGAAAGTCAGTGGTTGCTGTCTGTCATATTTGTTATTAATTTATTGTTTTGGCATAAATCAGGCTATTGGTTTTCTCGTTTGGATAGTTACATATTTTGGCATGTTGGGGCCTTTAAAGCAGACTGTACAGTTTGAGTTTTGCTCATTGTTAAAGGCTGTACCATGACCTATAGTTGTTTACATCCATGTCATTTAGTCTCTGGTGAATAGTTGTCTCATTGGCAATCATACCACACCTTCTTAGTTCTATACTGAGACAGGTTTCTATGATAGATTGAAAAGGAAATAAATGAGTTGGATGGAGATGACACAAAAAATCTTATGAAACACTAGGATTAAATGCAGTATATTAAAAGAATGTGCCATTTCTGTTAATCTTCAACGATGAACTAAAAAGACTCACTTTCACAGCAAATTTAAACCAGATATCACCTAGTGTCCTCTTAATCAGAAAACTAAAAAAAATTTTAAATGGCTTGATACCTTATCAAAGCATTTATTGCTGCAATATATATATGGAAGTAATAGTTATACTCAAACCAAATCTATAATTTGTTGCAAGATATTATAAAGACTCTGATCATAACAATTACAAGCATAGGCCACCATCAAAACTTTTGTAGGAAAACTTCCTGAAGATTCTAGAAGTGTTAGTCAGCTTCCTCCAATAAGACTGCCAAGTTTATCTGGAGATAATTTGGATTTCTGTAGGTACTTACTAAATATAACCTACATCACCTACAGCTATATTATTTAAGATCTTAAAGACTTCTAGAGTACTTACTAATGGAGTATCACAACCTCCAACAATACTGATGCCTAGATCAGCTTGAGATCTTTGGATTTCTATAGTTGACACTTCACCCTCTAAAACAGGATTTTTTCCTGAAAAAGTATGTGATTTTACTAATGATCAAGGGACTTGGAAAATGCTTCATATCTCAGTTGTTTTCCATGTTTTCTTCAAATCAAATAACTGTTATGAATAAGCCATGCAGTTCACTCTAAATCTAAACAAGGGCAATAACTCCAAAACAAAATTTGATTGGTTCTTTTAAAGTCTACAAGAAATGTAGGATACAGATGACTAACAATGTTATTTTCCATATAATTACTATTTCCAAGGTTATTAACTGCTGTGAAAAAAAAATTTAAAAACAGTATAAAAAAAAAAAAATAGCGACAAAAATTTACGATCATACAGTATCAAAAGTCATGTCATGTAGTCTAGCTCTATGTTTTGCAGTGAAATAGTTTATTATATATCTTAACAAATATATTAAATTTTTGCATATCAAATTTACAATGAATGTTATCAAAATGTAATTTCAATGTCATGGGTTTTATAAAATCTAAATCAATCAATGTCATCTTGCTTGATAATAATAACTTGATAATCCATCAAAGTTAACCATTCAATCATCTTTCTTAGAAGTTGTAAACAAAATTTTTATACTATTGTAAAGGAAATTCATACAGCAACATATGTTTTGCAAAGAATTTATCACTATGAAAATAATAACTTCCCCCAATAATTTATAATTTTATGTATTCCATTCCATTGAAATAATAGATGTGTATAAAACACACATTTTCAAAATTAAAGACTTTTTCAGATAATGAAACGCAAAAAGCATGTGACTTTATCATATGATTTTTAACTCACTGTAAAAACCATGAACTCTATGATATGATATGTTACGTTCTATAATACATCATTGCACAAAAACCACCATTTATGGCACACCATTTACATTTAAGGCGTTGAGACTAAATTTTATGTTAATAATGTAGAATCAGGTGAGTATCATGAACAAAATAAACTTTTAATGTTGTCATTTTTTTTTTCATAATAAAATTTTGTTGATGATGAATCAAAAAAACTAAAACATGTGACTTAATTAAGCCATGTGATTTTTATTTCTGTAAAAGTGCATACTCAATTAGTACTATAATATATCATTTTGTATATAAAAACAACTATTTTTCTAAATTTCAAATTTTTATTTATGATGAACCACAAATTAAAGCATGTGACTTTTATGGCATGTTATTTTTAACACATTGTAAAATCATGTATTCCATGCAAGGAAATTTCATTTAAGCTTTGCTGACTTAGATTTATGTTAAGACGAATTAATAGTCACTAACTAGTTGTCATAATCTACAGTTTATAATGAACAACTGATGTACAATGAGCAAGAAAATAGACTCTTAAATAAAATGCTTCGCTGGGGCGCAGCTTGATACGACCGCAGAGGTCGAACCCTGAACAGTTGGGGCAAGTATGGACACAACATTCAAGCTTGATACAGCTCTGAATTTGGATTGTTATTAAATATTTGACACAGCATAGGTTTCTGACACAGAAAGAATGTGGTCTAAGAACTTCAATTTTTTTAATTTACCTATTATGGTCCAATGTCCAAAATCAAAATACATGGTTAGATTCAGCATATCAAAGAACCCCATATATTCAATTTTTGTTAAAATCAAACAAAAGTTTAATTTTGGACCCCAACTTGGACAAACTTGAAAACTGGGCCCATAATCAAAAATCTAAACACATGTTTAGATTCAGCATATCAAAGAACCCCATATATTCAATTTTTGTTGAAATCAAACAAAGGTTAATTTTGGACCCCAATTTGGACCAACTTGAAAACTGGGCCAAAAATCTAAAATCTAAATACATGTTTAGATTCAGCATATCAAAGAACCCCATATATTCAATTTTTGTTAAAATCAAACTAAGTTTAATTTTGGACCCTTTTGACCTCAATATGAACCAATTTGATAGCGGGCCCACAAATAAAAAATCTAAATACATGGTAAGATTCAGCATATCAAAGAACCCCATATATTCAATTTTTGTTGAAATCAAACAAAGTTTAATTTTGGACCCCAATTTGGACCAACTTGAAAACTGGGCCAAAAATCTAAAATCTAAATACATGTTTAGATTCAGCATATCAAAGAACCCCATATATTCAATTTTTGTTGAAATCAAACAAAGTTTAATTTTGGACCCCAACTTGGACCAACTTAAAACTGGGCCCATAATCAAAAATCTAAACACATGTTTAGATTCAGCATATCAAAGAACCCCAAGAATTCAATTTTTGTTAAAATCAAACTAAGTTTAATTTTGGACCCTTTGGACCTTAATGTAGACCAATTTAAAAAACAGGACCTTAAATTAAAAATCTAAATACACGGTTAGATTTGGCATATCAAAGAACCCCAATATTTTCAATTTTTGATGAAATCAAACAAAGTTTAATTTTGGACCCTTTTGACTTCAATATGAACCAATTTGATAGCGGGGTCCACAAATAAAAAATCTAAATACATGGTTATATTCAGCATATCAAAGAACCCCATATATTCATTTTTTGTTGAAATCAAATAAAGTTTAATTTTGGACCCCAACTTGGACAAACTTGAAAACTGGGCCCATTATCAAAAATCTAAACACATGTTTAGATTCGGCATAACAAATAAATAAATGTGATCAAAGATTTTTTTACAAATCTAATGCGCCATACTGTGCAATTAAAGATTACTTCTTGAAATTTTTCGATATTTGAAATTTGAAAAAAAAATAATATTTGAAGAATAATTCTTTTTAATTTCTGAAATCTGAAATGAGAAAAAATTGACCCCCCACAATTTCTTTTTACCCCCCCCCCCCTTTTTCCCCCCCAAAAATTCTTTCCCTCAAGATATGGTCATAATCTCAATTCAAATTTCCAATGGAGTTTGCAACCATAATTACCCATTTAAATTTACCATAGTGCTAACTTAATCTATTTTATAATAGAATTTAAAATATAGTGTCAAATCTTTCAAATGGATTTTTTTGTAAAAAAAAAAGATGCAACATTTGCAGATATTTTTACTGGTCTTCCTTTATAAATATGCATTTCTTTAAACATAATTTAAAAGCAGTGTAAGGGAAGTAACCAAAACGTTGTATTTGGATTACCTCCCTTACACTGTTTTAAATTATCTTAATTGTTCATTAACCATTACTTTATACATAATTTAAAAGCAGTGTAAGGGAGATAATTTCAATGATGTATTTGATTTATTTCCCTTACACTGCTTTAAATTAAGTTTTGTACTAAAGTATTTGTCCATCATCCAGGACATCCTTGTTTTTCCCCCTTTTTTGCCCCTAATTCCTAAACGGTTTGAGCCATAACCCCCCAAAGCAAATCCTAACCATCCCTTTGTGGTATGGAAACCTGTAGTATAATTTCAGAGAGATCCATACACCGTTCCACAGTTATTGTCTGGAAACTAGAAAATGCTTATTTTTGGCCCCTTTTTGGCCCCTAATTCCTTAACTGTTGGTACCATAACCCCCAAAATCAATCCCAACCTTCCTTTTGTGGTATTTAACCTTATGGTCAAATTTCAAAAAGATCCATTCACTTAAACTAAAGTTAGAGTGCGAAAACCAATGTGTCTTCGGACGACGACGCCAACGTCATACCAATATACGACCACAAAATTTTTTTGCAGTTGTATATAAAGTAAAAGAAATCGACTATTATACTAGTTAGTTAGTTAGTATAATAGTCCCAGGTTTAAGTTAAGTTTGTACAAAATTTTTCTCTTCTAAATCGATTATCAGGTCTGAATAACTCTGTGCTACATTTATTCATAAGTCAAACATCAATTTTTCACCTAAAAAATACCAAATATGTACTGTAGCTTCATTTCATGGTTATATACAGTTCCTTACACATCGATCACGGCTAAATTACACCAAATTAAAATAAAATGCTTCGCTGGGCGCAGCTTGATACGACCGCAGAGGTCGAACCCTGAACAGTTGGGGCAAGTATGGACACAACATTCAAGCTTGATACAGCTCTGAATTTGAATTGTGATTAAATATTTGACACAGCATAGGTTTCTGACACAGAAAGAATGTGGTCTAAGAACTTCAATTTTTTTAATTTACCTATTATGGTCCAATGTCCAAAATCAAAATACATGGTTTGATTCAGCATATCAAAGAACCCCATATATTCAATTTTTGATGAAATCAAACAAAGTTTAATTTTGGACCCTTTTGACCTCAATATGAACCAATTTGATAGCGGGCCCACAAATAAAAAATCTAAATACATGGTAAGATTCAGCATATCAAAGAACCCCATATATTCAATTTTTGTTGAAATCAAACAAAGTTTAATTTTGGACCCCAATTTGGACCAACTTGAAAACTGGGCCAAAAATCTAAAATCTAAATACATGTTTAGATTCAGCATATCAAAGAACCCCATATATTCAATTTTTGTTGAAATCAAACAAAGTTTAATTTTGGACCCCAACTTGGACCAACTTAAAACTGGGCCCATAATCAAAAATCTAAACACATGTTTAGATTCAGCATATCAAAGAACCCCAAGAATTCAATTTTTGTTAAAATCAAATTAAGTTTAATTTTGGATCCTTTGGACCTTAATGTAGACCAATTTAAAAAACAGGACCTTAAATTAAAAATCTAAATACACGGTTAGATTTGGCATATCAAAGAACCCCAATAATTCAATTTTTGATGAAATCAAACAAAGTTTAATTTTGGACCCTTTTGACTTCAATATGAACCAATTTGATAGCGGGGTCCACAAATAAAAAATCTAAATACATAGTTAGATTCAGTATATCAAAGAACCCCATATATTCATTTTTTGTTGAAATCAAATAAAGTTTAATTTTGGACCCCAACTTGGACAAACTTGAAAACTGGGCCCATTATCAAAAATCTAAACACATGTTTAGATTCGGCATAACAAATAAATAAATGTGATCAAAGATTTTTTTACAAATCTAATGCGCCATACTGTGCAATTAAAGATTACTTCTTGAAATTTTTCGATATTTGAAATTTGAAAAAAAAATAATATTTGAAGAATAATTCTTTTTAATTTCTGAAATCTGAAATGAGAAAAAATTGACCCCCCACAATTTCTTTTTACCCCCCCCCCCCTTTTTCCCCCCCAAAAATTCTTTCCCTCAAGATATGGTCATAATCTCAATTCAAATTTCCAATGGAGTTTGCAACCATAATTACCCATTTAAATTTACCATAGTGCTAACTTAATCTATTTTATAATAGAATTTAAAATATAGTGTCAAATCTTTCAAATGGAGTTTTTTGTAAAAAAAAAAGATGCAACATTTGCAGATATTTTTACTGGTCTTCCTTTATAAATATGCATTTCTTTAAACATAATTTAAAAGCAGTGTAAGGGAAGTAACCAAAACGTTGTATTTGGATTACCTCCCTTACACTGTTTTAAATTATCTTAATTGTTCATTAACCATTACTTTATACATAATTTAAAAGCAGTGTAAGGGAGATAATTTCAATGATGTATTTGATTTATTTCCCTTACACTGCTTTAAATTAAGTTTTGTACTAAAGTATTTGTCCATCATCCAGGACATCCTTGTTTTTCCCCCTTTTTTGCCCCTAATTCCTAAACGGTTTGAGCCATAACCCCCCAAAGCAAATCCTAACCATCCCTTTGTGGTATGGAAACCTGTAGTATAATTTCAGAGAGATCCATACACCGTTCCACAGTTATTGTCTGGAAACTAGAAAATGCTTATTTTTGGCCCCTTTTTGGCCCCTAATTCCTTAACTGTTGGTACCATAACCCCCAAAATCAATCCCAACCTTCCTTTTGTGGTATTTAACCTTATGGTCAAATTTCAAAAAGATCCATTCACTTAAACTAAAGTTAGAGTGCGAAAACCAATGTGTCTTCGGACGACGACGCCAACGTCATACCAATATACGACCACAAAATTTTTTTGCAGTTGTATATAAAGTAAAAGAAATCGACTATTATACTAGTTAGTTAGTTAGTATAATAGTCCCAGGTTTAAGTTAAGTTTGTACAAAATTTTTCTCTTCTAAATCGATTATCAGGTCTGAATAACTCTGTGCTACATTTATTCATAAGTCAAACATCAATTTTTCACCTAAAAAATACCAAATATGTACTGTAGCTTCATTTCATGGTTATATACAGTTCCTTACACATCGATCACGGCTAAATTACACCAAATTAAAATAAAATGCTTCGCTGGGCGCAGCTTGATACGACCGCAGAGGTCGAACCCTGAACAGTTGGGGCAAGTATGGACACAACATTCAAGCTTGATACAGCTCTGAATTTGAATTGTGATTAAATATTTGACACAGCATAGGTTTCTGACACAGAAAGAATGTGGTCTAAGAACTTCAATTTTTTTAATTTACCTATTATGGTCCAATGTCCAAAATCAAAATACATGGTTTGATTCAGCATATCAAAGAACCCCATATATTCAATTTTTGATGAAATCAAACAAAGTTTAATTTTGGACCCTTTTGACCTCAATATGAACCAATTTGATAGCGGGCCCACAAATAAAAAATCTAAATACATGGTAAGATTCAGCATATCAAAGAACCCCATATATTCAATTTTTGTTGAAATCAAACAAAGTTTAATTTTGGACCCCAATTTGGACCAACTTGAAAACTGGGCCAAAAATCTAAAATCTAAATACATGTTTAGATTCAGCATATCAAAGAACCCCATATATTCAATTTTTGTTGAAATCAAACAAAGTTTAATTTTGGACCCCAACTTGGACCAACTTAAAACTGGGCCCATAATCAAAAATCTAAACACATGTTTAGATTCAGCATATCAAAGAACCCCAAGAATTCAATTTTTGTTAAAATCAAATTAAGTTTAATTTTGGATCCTTTGGACCTTAATGTAGACCAATTTAAAAAACAGGACCTTAAATTAAAAATCTAAATACACGGTTAGATTTGGCATATCAAAGAACCCCAATAATTCAATTTTTGATGAAATCAAACAAAGTTTAATTTTGGACCCTTTTGACTTCAATATGAACCAATTTGATAGCGGGGTCCACAAATAAAAAATCTAAATACATAGTTAGATTCAGTATATCAAAGAACCCCATATATTCATTTTTTGTTGAAATCAAATAAAGTTTAATTTTGGACCCCAACTTGGACAAACTTGAAAACTGGGCCCATTATCAAAAATCTAAACACATGTTTAGATTCGGCATAACAAATAAATAAATGTGATCAAAGATTTTTTTACAAATCTAATGCGCCATACTGTGCAATTAAAGATTACTTCTTGAAATTTTTCGATATTTGAAATTTGAAAAAAAAATAATATTTGAAGAATAATTCTTTTTAATTTCTGAAATCTGAAATGAGAAAAAATTGACCCCCCACAATTTCTTTTTACCCCCCCCCCCCCCCTTTTTTCCCCAAAAAAATTCTTTCCCTCAAGATATGGTCATAATCTCAATTCAAATTTCCAATGGAGTTTGCAACCATAATTCCCCATTTAAATTTACCATAGTGCTAACTTAATCTATTTTATAATAGAATTTAAAATATAGTGTCAAATCTTTCAAATGGATTTTTTTGTAAAAAAAAAAGATGCAACATTTGCAGATATTTTTACTGGTCTTCCTTTATAAATATGCATTTCTTTAAACATAATTTAAAAGCAGTGTAAGGGAAGTAACCAAAACGTTGTATTTGGATTACCTCCCTTACACTGTTTTAAATTATCTTAATTGTTCATTAACCATTACTTTATACATAATTTAAAAGCAGTGTAAGGGAGATAATTTCAATGATGTATTTGATTTATCTCCCTTACACTGCTTTAAATTATGTTTTGTACAAAAGTATTTGTCCATTAACCAGGACAACCTTGTTTTTCCCCCTTTTTTGCCCCTAATTCTTAAACGGTTTGAGCCATAACCCCCCAAAGCAAATCCTAACCATCCCTTAGTGGTATGGAAACCTGTAGTATAATTTCAGAGAGATCCATACACCGTTTCACAGTTATTGTCTGGAAACTAGAAAATGCTTATTTTTGGCCCCTTTTTGGTCCCTAATTCCTTAACTGTTGGTACCATAACCCCCAAAATCAATCCCCACCTTCCTTTTGTGGTATTGAACCTTATGGTAAAATTTCATAGAGATCCATTCACTTAAACTAAAGTTAGAGTGCGAAAACTAATGCGTCTTCGGACGACGACGACGCCAACGTCATACCAATATACGACCACAAAAATTTGTATGCGGTCGTATAAAAACAAGAAGTACTATTAATAAATCAACAAACCAAATATGGTTGATCAGTTATGTAAATAACTAAGAAACACACCTAAAAGGGTTTATTTAAAGAAGGCAATGTTGACCTTGGTAGAATTTGGGAGTAAGAAACAAAAGTATTTGAAACAGTTTTAGCCGCAACTTCCAAAATAAATGCATATGTCTCATCACCACTCATGAGTTTCACTATAGGTCAAGCTAAAAGCAAGTAATTGAATTGAGGGTTATCCGTTTTTAAAAAAACCTCTGGACTTACCCCCATCCTGATCCCTAAACTGGCATTCCCACAGATGGCTCTGTAGGGCACTCCTGGGTCCTTGAAATGTACAACCTAGACTGGACTTAATGCACCTTGTAACAGCACCACGACATCTGGAAATATAAAATAAAATATTATTATTTTTCAACCATTATTTGTGAGTTCACGTTCTCACTGTAATTTTATTGCAATTCAATACTTGTACTAATTCCTTTCATTTTTGAAAAAAATACTTAAAATTTTCATACTGTAATCTGTAAATTACTAATTTTTTTCAATTCTTGCAAGTGCAATTCTTCTTTTCAATTCATGTACTAGTAGTAAATGCAGTACTACTCTTCAAATTGTGCAAGTGCAGCATTTGTTTTCAATTTGTGCAAGTGCAACAATTGTCTTCAAATTGTGCAAGTATAGTACTTGTCTTCAAATTGTGCAGGTGCAGTACAGGTCTTCAAATTAAGCAAGTGTATGCAGCATTTGTCTTCAAATTGTGCAAGTGCAGTACATGTCTTCAAATTAAGCAAGTGTATGCAGCATTTGTCTTCAAACTGTGCAAGTGCAGTATTTCGTTTTAAATTAACAAGTGCATCCAGTACTTTTCTTCAAATTGTGCAAGTCAAGCACTGGTCTTCAAATGATTCAAATGCAGTGCATAACTTCAAATTAAGCAAGTGTATGCAGTACTTTTCTTCAAATTGTGCAAGTTCAGCACTTGTTTTCAAATTGAGCAAGTAAAGTGCTCAGCTGGTCTTCAAATGATTCAAATGCAGTGCATAACTTCAAATTAAGCAAGTGTATGCAGTCCTTTTGTTCAAATTGTGCAGGTTCAGCACTTGTTTTCAAAATGTGCAAGTGCAGTACATGTCTTCAAATAAAGCAAGTGCAGGCAGTCCTTTTTTCAAATTGTGCAAGTGCAGTACTTGTCTTCAAATTCAGGCCTAATTACTTTAAAAAAAGTACAATCCCATGAGGTTACTTAAACCTCACAACAAGAGCATATAAGACCATGAAGCCAAGTTTGGCTATACACAATGACATTTTACATTTCTATTGAAATTTGAAATGGTAATTTCAGTTCTGTCAAGTTTATAAGTATAGCATATTTTTGCTGTGAACCGATTGCTTTCATGAGGATTAAAACATGAGACTCACGGTAATAATTGTGACAGAAAACTCTCAAAATCTCATTATAGAATATAGAATTTGAATGACACATTACAAACATTTACAATTCTGATGAAAGACATTTAATATATCAGGAGAGATATTACATACTTCAAACCTATACCTTACGGACACCATCTCACAACACAATGTCAAAATTTCAAAGATTCAGGAAATTATAATCAATTCTCACAGCTTAAAGTAATTCTTGTTATGTAACATGAAAAACATTATTGCAAACACAGAAGACTTGAAATATGCCAATCACAAATTTTCAACAAATTAGTTTCATGGATGCTTTCCAACTTCACGACAACAACATATTTCTTACAGAACGGAATTAAAAGTTAACATGCAATAACATATCATATTGCACTAGTGCAGATAAACTCTAAAATTAAGTGAGGTCATTAGTGACAAAAATTCGTAAGGGTTCCGCGGAACCCAGTGTCTCGCCTACTTTTGGTGTTAATCGCAGGCTCAACAAAAATGAGGAAAAAAATTAATAAAAATATTCCTCTCTATACTATCTTTTGATTGTAAGTAGCTTCTGTCCAAGTTTGGTAAAAATCCAGGATAATTTATGAATCTAATAAATGTTTTAAAAACTTAAACTGCAGAATGTATGTAATGTTGACTGGAAGAAAAACTAAGTCCATTTATAAGTAAAATACGGAAAAAATGGAACAAAATTTTATCAAAATTTCCTTTTAGATACTAGCTTTAGATCATAAACAAGCTTCTGTCCAAGTGTGGTACAAATCCAGGATAGTTTAAGAAAGTTGTTAAAATTTTAAAAACTTTAACCACAGAGTGAATGTAATGTTAACTGGCAGAAAAACTAAGTCCATTTACAAGTAAAATAAGGAAAAAAATGGATTTTTTTTTTTACAAAATTTACTTCTGGACACTATCTTATGATCATAAACAAGCTTCTTTCCAAGTTTGGTAGAAATCCAGGATAGTTTAAGAAAGTTATTAAAATTTCAAAAACTTTAACCACAGAGTGAATATTTGTGGACGCCGCCGCCGACGACGCCAACAAAATGTAGGATCGCTATGTCTCGCTTTTTCTACAAAAGTCGAAGGCTCGACAAAAATTTTAAAAAATTTCAAGCTTTGATAAAAATAAAAGGTTTATTGCATGAATATTATCCCTAATATGAATATATATATTGCACTCAAAAGCTCATGAACTGATAAAATTGAAAGTTGGCAAACGGCCTTGCAATCAAACTAACAAAATCATACAAAGTTCTTCCCCAGCAATCACAATTATCAAATTCAAAAGGAATAATTTCTTTTGAGTACTTTGCAAAATGTATCAGCAATATAAGTCCCCTCAATACCTTAAGATCAAATTAAACAATGACACAAGTAAATCAGTTCTGACGAGGAATGCTAGTTGAAAATATTTTAAAGCCTCTTAAATATGTAAAATTACCAAGCAAAACTGATATAGTGTAATTGAATCGGTGTCCTTGTTACAACAGAAATTATACTGTGGTATGTAAAATGGTACCATATTCCCATGACTTCAATTATCTATTCATGTGAAATTTTGAAGGTCAATTTAGCAGAATTGGTTCTATGTTCATGTAAGTTAATAAAACATTAAAATTGGAGTATCTTAAAGTACCAGCCAAAACTGATATAATAGTGTAATTGAATCAGTGTCCTTGTTACAACAGAAATGATGCCATGTATGTATATGGTACCACATTCCCATGACATCAATTATGTATTCTGTTCATGTGGAATTTTGAAGGTCACCTTAACATAATTGGTTCTATAATTATATATGTTTATGAAACCTTTAAAATTGGATTTTCCAGTTAAGACAGGATGTATAACAAATATGATTAAAAAGTCCTCACTGTAGTAGCTCTAGTAGCTACATAATAGTGGTTTAAAATTAAGTCACCTTCTAAGCTTATCATCAAAGTCTCAGTATGGGCTTGATAATTATGAAGCTAAATCATTTCTGTATAATATTTCATGAAGGTAAAAAAAAATCATATCAAACAACATTAAGATTGATATTTCTAGGAATATGGTATCTTGACTTTTCAGAATACCGGTAAACAAAGCTGAAAATAATCTAGGGAAATTGAACAACTTTTCCAATCTCTTTTGAATCAAATTTCTTCTGCATGGGATTTTTTGCTACTTTAAAAGTAAAATTATACAGAAATATCAATCAAATTTCATGGATTTCTATAAATGGCACTGTAAAATATGTTAGAAGTGGTAAATCAAATCTCTAATTCAAATTTTCAAATTTTAAGTATGCTAACTGAGACACATTACCTAGCTATGTGAAAATGAAACTTAACAGTTAATAGGTTAATTAAACTACATTCACTTCTTTTGTAGTCTTTTGCATTATCGGACATTTCTGTGAGGCATATTGTGGACTAATGTTTGTCCTTTTGGCATTTTCTTTTGACCATCGTTTTTTTTTCCAAAGGTTGCTGTTTTTATTGCCCTCTTGACATCTTCTCTCCCTTTTTGAGAAGTATAGAAAAGGATAAAATTGCAAAGTACAAACTAAAAATAATTATCAGCTTCCTCATTTTTCAAGGCAGTTCTTTTTAAAAATTGTGTAGCAGTTTATTCTATTTGTTGTCAATATGAGGTAGTATAATTTGACTCGCCTGATTTAAAAAAGTTCTCTAAATGCTTGAACAGTATCAACCATATTGTTGTAAGATTTTTCTTCTGCTTCTAATAGGAAGAGATATATTAATTAAAAGCCCATTCCAAGGCACTTAGTAGACAGTGACTAATAGGCATTTAGTTAGACATAATATCTATATATGGTCAATCGGCTGGATAGTTTGACACAATATCTGTATATGGTCAATCGGCTGGATAACGTTTCATGTTATTAACTATAATATTCAACATTGTCTCAGAAATCTACCATAATCCTCACAATATAAATTGGCAATGTCAATTATCTATATAACAGTAAGTACCATTGACTCAATAGTTTAGGACATTTTATTCAGTTCCCATTAACAAGATATTGGCCTATTCTAAGATCAATCTTAACCATGACCTTATATTTGAACATGTTTCCTCACATTTTCATTAAGCTTTTATACAGGCATTTACAAAACTGTAAATGATTTTATTGGAGAGGATTGAAAGCTTGACATAAAGCCACACTTTTGGCCCCCTGAATTCTAAAATTGAAAAAGTATTATAAATATATTGAATACTGCAGACAAAAGCTGATTCCTCTTTTACAGTTACAAAAGAATCTTGTTTTCCAAGGCCTTGTGAGATTGTGATGCAAATATTTTATTCAGAGTTGATTTCATAAAGACTATTATTAGTTTCAAATTTAAGGTAAAACATGCAGTTAATGCCAGTTAATGATTAACTTTGACTTAAACCAACCAGCATTATCCAGAAGCTTAAAAAGCATTAATTACATCAGGAAGAGCCAATTCTAACCTCCCCTAGATGTTCACAAGATATAAGTCTGTAAGATTAACAGTATCAAAAATAATTTTATATATATCAATATTTGTGTAAGGGGTTTTAAAATTCTTGCATTCAATACAAACTGTGTGAGGAAAACCTACCAAAACAGCCTCATTTTGCGTTTTGTCATTGATATACCAGTGGTAATATTTAATTTTTAGCCCTTATCAAAAAACAAATTGGTAACATAATGTTTTATACAAAGAATTCAATGTTGGCCAAATATCTTTATGTGAAAAGGCTGTGCTTATAACTGATTTTACCAAAAATAGTTATGTGCAAAAGATTCATTCATGACGTCAGTCTCAGCGTGTTTAAGATTATATCAGCCCCTATTAATTTTTTTTAACAAACTACCATAAATTTAAAAGGATTGAAGAATTTCACTTTATTTGCAATTTCAAGGCTAAATAACAGCTCTTATCATCATGATCATACCCCTCTCATAGGTAGG